CACACACACGACGACGACACACACACACACACACACACACACACACACACACACACACACACACACACACACACACACACACACACGTCCCGAAAGTCGCCATATACCAACATGGCAAGCAAAGATACAAGCTCCAGCATTTACGCAGCGTCCTCCTCGGAGCTGGTTGGCAAAGCCAAGGCCGCCGCGGGCGGCAAGCCGTCACTCTTCTCCAGGGTCAAGGCGGCCTTCAAGTCGCCGGCGGCGGAACGCGGGCAGGCCGTCATGGACGCGCGGCCGCCGCGGCGCGACAGCGACGAGTGGTCGTACATGACGGACCCGGAGGACGAGACGCGGCAGATCAAGAAGCGCAAGAAGAAGATGGTCGAGTACAAGCCCCTCGCTATCACGCAAGGCTCACTCGCGAGCCAGGGGGCCGTGCTATAGGGAGGGGCGGCGGCGGCGGCCTGCATGTTGCCATGCCATGGGAATGAGGGGACGTAAGGGATGGAGATATTCGGGTCTGCCTGGGCCTGGAGGCTAGAGTGGTGGAAACAGCAGGCAGGCAGAGAGAAGGGTCATGAAAAACGAGACCCGTTTTGGCGGTGGAATCAGCCCACCGAATCCTTCCATGTATAACACGTACTTTTGAATCACCGGGTAGAGGGCGGTGGGGGTTACATTGGGTGGAGCGGGCGCAGATTGGCCACCATGTGTGTGCAGCAACACGTCGGGGCTAGCGTTTCTAGAAAGAGAATCAAGCGTAGGTCAAGCTTTCATGCCAGTCATCTAACAAGGGTCTACAGTACCCTTTGACATAGCCCTCTTCGGCTGCGCCCGCTGGTCACCTGGACGGGCGAGCCCCAAGACATGGTGATTATTATGGCTACTCGCACGCCTATGCTGTGTTGCTTGCCCATTGGACCTGCTGATTTTTCCAAAACGGCTTCCTTGCTCGGCAATATCCCCTCTCCCCTTGCATATCGACTCTTTGCCTCCAAGCCTTACTTACAACACAAACGCCACATCAGCTCGAGGCCTTCTTGCCGCCCTTACCCGCCGCCGACGACGACGACGACGCCGCCGCCGCCGCCGCCGCCGCCCTATCAGCAACGGCAAAAGCGCGGGCCGAGGCCCTGATGCTCGAGAAGGCGAGGAACCCGGGCACGACGATCCAGATGGCGTTCATGAAGACGTAGTAGCACCAAAAGTAGTAGGGCTCGGGGCGGCAGTGGTCGCGGCCCCAGACCCGCTCGTGCATCATGAAGTTGCCGTAGTAGAGCACGTCGCCGTAGAACTGGCCGGCGCTGACGAGCAGCTGGAGCGGGTGGCGGAGCGGGTGTCCCGTGACGACCAGCAGGGCCAGGACGGCCGAGAGCGGGCCCCAGACAAAGGCGGTCACGCCCTCCATGGGCACCATGAAGGGGTCCCGCAGCAGGTAGCGCGAGTCCGAGAGGCTGTACTCCTTCCATAGCTGCGCCGGCACGGCCGACTGGGAGGCAATGTCGCGGAAGTTGAGGGCGTAGTAGCCTGTTGAGGGGAAGGGATGAGATGGGAGGGGTCAGTTGGTGTAAAATAGGGGGAGAAGTGGTAAAAAAAAAGGAGAAGGGAAAAAAATCACCTTCGAGGAAAAAGTGGATGACGGCGCACGCCACGAACCACATGGCCGTGGCCATCTCGCCGGCGGGCAGGTCCGGCCGCGCCCGCCTGATGCGGTACGCGGCGGGCAGCAGCACGGCCGACAGCGTGGATGCGAAGATGGCGAAGATGGCGGGCGTCGTCAGGGTGTTGGCGACGTAGCCGGGGATCTCGACGCCCACGGGCGAGTAGGGGTGGGCGGATGACATGTTTTCGGCCATGGTGGGTGGTTGGTTGTGATGGTTGTGATGGTTGTGATGGTTGTGATGGTGGTGGCTGTTGCGGCTGTTGAGATGGCGGGGGTTTTGTTATTGTTGTTATACTTTCAAGACAAAGATCAATATGTTTTGGGCCGGTATGATGAACCAACTTTGGGATCTGCTCCTCCTCTCGGTCTGGAATGCTGGATCTTGAGATGTACTTATAGCAAAGCGTCTCGGACACTGAGAGATGCTCATCTGAACTTGACAAGAAATAAAGAAAAAAGCGGCCAGACGGATCGGTAATTTCACCGAACCTTGCCCAGCAAAGTTTGTCGAGGCCACAACAGTCGGCGCTACGGGTGGTGGGCGTCGAATCGCAAGGCCTCAATGCCGAGGCTTTGCTGTCATCACCTAGCATTAGTGCCATCGGCCGCCAAATGCTCTGTCATCGGTTGGTGGCCTGGGCGGGCGGGCCTAGGTGGGTCGGCAAGCCGTCTTCCGTATCGGACCATCACCATGGTCAGGTCCGCGGGTCAACACGGGCCTTCCTTTACGGCGACGACAATGGCAGGGCTGCTCCTTGGCGTAAGCCGCAATAGGTATCATTAATGTTCCCTGGTTTCCTCCATGCTACTGTGCCAGCAACGTGCACAAATACCCATCCATGCACATGTCCACAAAGGAAATAAACAAACACCTAACCCCTCCAATGACAATGCCCAACATTCCATCAACACAGCCCCGTCAGCTCATGAATTTCCCGCCTCCTTCCTGCTTGTACAGCCAATCGTGGTTGGCGTCCACCATAAAGTCCTCGATGTTGAACTCGTTGGGCCCAGGTCCACTGCCGCCGCCGACCGCCACGTCTCCGCTCTCCCTGCCACCAGCACCGCCCACGCCGCCGATATTCCCCTGGACTCCGGAAGGATGGTCGCCGGGGACTCCCGCCGCCAGCCGGGGGTAGTTGAAGAAGTCGAAAACGTCAAGGTACTCCAGCTCATTGGGCTGTGGCGTCCTGGCCGGAGTGATGCTTGGGTAGCGGCTGTACGGCCCCGAGACCGGCGCGCCGCCAGGTCCCGGGGCGCCGGGGCCATGACTGCCAGCGCCATTTACGCTGACGCCGCTACTGCCAGCACAAGCGGCACTACTGCCGCCAGTTGCCGTCAGCGCCATGTGATGCGGCTGGCGACTGATGAGGAAATCAAGGTCAAAGGCGGTGCGGCGCATGTCGGCCAGGATCTTGACGCTGCTTGGCGTGACGCTGTCGCCGTGGCGGGCCGCGTCGTGGTACTCGTCCAGCACGCGTTGCAGCAGCTCGCAGTACCGCCGCGCCACGGGCCAGTACCGGCTCATCTCACGGAGCGCGTCCACGAAGAAGCCGATCTGCGGGCTGACCTTGTGCTCCACCGTCGACCCGTGCACCAGCAGGAGTCGCGCGGCCACCCACAAGGTGAAGGCGAAGGGCGGCCCGAGCTTCGGCAGCAGGCCATTGGTGACCACAAAGTCGCCGAGCGCCGCGATGTTTTCGACCGCGTCGTGGCAGCGCTGCGAGGCCGAGTAGGACGGCGTGAATATGGGCGAGCGCGTGGTCGGATAGGCTGCCGACGAATGCAGCCGGATCGCAGCCGTGTGGTAGGTCGCGTGAAGCATTACCCACCCGCAATTGAGCGTCTTGGCAACCCCTGGCTGGAACAGCTTGGCCATGGAGCTGTACTCGCCGGGGAGGTCAAACTTCCACTTGGCCAAGGTGCTGTCCAGCTCCTTGTACCGCAGCTTCCAGTCCTCCACGTCGCTGACGGCGGATATGTCGACCGGCTGCTTCAGGAACTTGTGAATCTGCGACAGAATCGTGAGCACCTCGACGTAGTAGCTAAAGGCTCCGAGGTTCTCGGGCTTGTTTGCCTCGTAGTCTGGTGGCGCCGATTCGTCGTAGCGGTGCTCAGTCCGGAACCAGCGCGTTTCTACCTTTTGGTTCTTGAGCCAGAGGTCGTCGCGGCACGGCAGCTTGCGGTCGATCTCCTTGTCGTCTAGCGCAAACTCAAAGGCTGTCGGGATTGTGGCATAGCGGTCGAGGAGATAAACCATCCAGAACAGTCGGCGCCGCGATTCCTCCTCGATAAAGTCTCTGGGCTCGGGGAGGATCATGGCCCTGAGGGTGTATATGGAAGTGTAGTTTGGGGATACGGAAAATGAGTTGCTCTCCACGGCAAGTCCTAGCTGCACCACCGATCGAGTTATGAGCGCCATGATGTTCCATCCGGGCGGCCCGTTGCCGTCGCCGCAGAGATCCAGCGCAAGTATCACCAGTGCCTGCAGCGCCTTCACCGACGAGTTCTCCATGCCGTACAGGAGAACTCTCTTTTTCGACACGTCGTGATACCGCCGCCGGCTCTCTTCCGTCAGCCTAGAGTCGGTTGAAAACCGGAGGGTTGTGGCAACTATGGCGTGTAGCAGGATCTTGTCCGTCTCGTCGATCGTGGACGCCGAGTCGAACAGCGACGCAAGCGTTATCTTGCGGTTCAGTATCGGGCACCATGTGTTGACGTGCTTGAAGTACAGGTCGGCGAGCGCGTAGAGCATGTCATATGGCGGGAACTCTTGGTCTGACGATATTTGGGTCTGGCTCTGAGACTTGGTCGAATTGGGCGAGTGAATTGCACCTCCAGACGTTGATGGCCCCGTAGAGCCCGCGCCATAGTACTCCTGGGCCGCCGCACTCGAGATGCCCGCCGCTCCCATGTGCCCTGGTGATACTCCCGACGGCGAGATGCCTGCAGGCCCAGCCTGAGCCTGGAATCCATCGTGCGGGGTCGGGGTGTGGCCTCCCAGGTTTGCAAATTCCAGGTTCTGAGACTGCCCAGGCGGTGCAGGTGCATATGCGGATGGCTTTTGTACAAAGAGAGCTGTTTCTGTCCGAGGCGTGCGCATGCTGTCTGGGCGAGGGAATAGCGGGGGTAGGATGTCCATGGAAGTGTCCTGGTCACTATGGATGCTGTCGCGCACGCTCTGTGCTGCGTTGGCCCCTTGACGGAAGGTCGCAGCTCCGTAGACACCCGGCCCGTCCATGGATGGCCGGAGAATCTCCTGATGAGTTCGCAGGATGGACTCGAGCCTGTCCAGACGCTGTTCCAGCTCTCGTCCATAGCCAGCTCGCAGCCCAGGTTTCTTGCGCTCTTTGTATTCGCAGATGGCGCCATTGCGCGTGCACCACCCGCATGATGGTTGGTCCCGGTCACATTTCACCTAGATTGTTGGCTTTGTGTTAGCAAATGCAACAATGCCGTAGTGTGCAGAATGCCTATAGTGTGATTGCTGCCAACCCCCGAGGTAGGGCCTCAGGGATTCTCTTGATACGATTTATAGCATGTACCACGGCCACACACAGCACGGGGCGTGTTGTGCGCCTGATAGGCTGGACAGCTGCAGCTCGATACTTGGGTGTCTGCTCGTGTCTTGTCTTCAGCGCACGTTGATGCGTAGAAAAATAAGACAAGGACTCGACATGAGGGTTGTAAAAACGAGTCACAGTCACCAAACTCACTTTTCTCTGCTTGCAGAGCTCACACCTGGGTGTATCATGGTCAGCTATAGCCTCGACCTGTCGGTCTTCGGGTGGGCGCGGAGAAGGCCCGTCCAAGCTATCTGGGGCCGGAACATCATGATCCGCTGGCGTGGCAGTAGTGGACATGGCCGGATAGAAAGGGCTTGGACTTGGGCAGTTACAAGGTACAAAAAGAGCGGCGGACGGAAAAGCAGGCCAATAGAGTCTCCGCTGGAAGACGGTGATAGGGCGTCAAGGGGGCGTCAAGGGGCAGTGATAAGATGGACCGAACATACGAGACAGAAATGGGCCTTTTCCGCTTGCCGTTCCGAGTGGGCTCGAGATGGTCGTCGAGGTCATTATCGGAGCGGTCGTCCCCAGTCAAGACGTTGGCATCGTCGCCGCTGTCCGGGCCCAAGACAGGTGGGGGCTCGGCTGCTGTTTGGTGGTGTTGTTGATGGTGCTGGTCGGGCGTGGCGGTTGGAGACGACTTTTGCTGCTGGCTGGTGCTGCTGATGCCGTGGCGCAGGCCAGGGTGCATCATTCCTGATGGAGACAAGGGGGGGAACCCGAGTGGAGGATGGGGATGGGCAGACTTCGGAAAAGAGGCTCAGGTTCGGCAAACGGAACCGTGTGTCGCGGGCCGCGGAGTCTCGGGTCAATGATGGGCAGAGAGGGTGTGGGCAAGGCCGGGGCCGTGGGCTCGGGCGAGGCGCCTTTGAGCGGGCTCTGGACCGGGTCGGTGGCTCGGGAGGGTGAGACCGGGAGGTGAAGAGGCGAGGTGGGCGATGCAGCTTGGGGGAGAAGGGGACGAGATCACGCGTGGCCCCCCTGTGCGAGGTCGGATTCGATGTCTCGTAGTGGCCCCTGGTCCTGGAGAGGGTCCTGGAGAGGGTCCTGGGCCTGCTCCCCTTTCCGACCTCGGGGTTTTGTGCACACGCGAGGGAGGAGGTGCTATGGGGTCGTCGCCGTGTCCCAGCCGTCATGATAGCCGCCTCAAACACACGCTGCCAGCCTTCCTTGTGCAATCTACGGCTGTTGTCTTGCCACAGATCGGACGGCTCGCCGCATGAATGCTCCCTGGACGATTGACTCTTGGGGAAGCGCAGGACGGCGAGGAGGAAAATTGAGCCAGCCCCAGCCGTCAGCGAGCGCGGGCGCTGTAGGACTGAGGTGTGCCATCGCTGATCCCCGCTGGCCATGGCTCTTGGGACCCGTCCGGTGGAGAAGGGCCAGGGTGCAGACCAGCGCTGGTTGCTCAACTGATTGGCCCGCAAAGTCGTTTACCGGGGAAGCAGCGACGCTGCGTGCGGGGAAAACCTGCAGGGGTTTCGGTCATTTCCAGATTTTTCCTTTCCCCAAGTTCTTGCCAAGACACCACCTCGTTAGGTCTTTCTCGCGACAACCTCATGCTCAGGCGACGAGACTAGCGACGCTGAGCGCACCAGCATGTCTCGGGATCCGGTGAACCTGCGAGGCTGGTAGGTAGCGCTACCAAACAATGGAGGCCTTACGACTGGCTCTTCTTGTGCGAGGCAGCATCGACTGTCACCCCATCGAGCAACCCCATTGAGCAACCCCAACAAGTGTGCTATGCAACCCGACCGCTGCGCTGGGTTGCGTAACGCGGGCCGGCCCTCCGTTTATCTGACACTCTCGTGGAAACAAGCTCACGGCTGCTATTTCGCTTCGTCAACGAGGCCGGAGCCGGTGGTTGCTCTTCTCCCACGTATTGCGGGGATGCACAAGGCATCCTACGACGGCTTGAAGCGCACCTAAGCACGGAAGGCAACAAGTAACTAGACGTGACGGGCATCACGAGGCGCCTCGGCCGTGGCACAGCGTGCAGTCCCAAGAGCCAGGTCAGCACGCTTATCTCCGTTTAAGCACGCAGCGGGCGTCATCCATGGCTACACGGGCGACGACCGACCTTTGGTGGTACGCATTCAACGAAGTACCGGGGACCTGGGTTATGCTCACCTCACCCAGCCGGGATCCCTCGCAACAATTATCCGGCCAATCAGCTAGCCGCCTTGGACATCCGGGCGTTTCCGTTTGCTGTCTTGTGGTACCCTTCACCGGTTTCGAAGCCCGGCTCGGTTCCTGCATCCCAAACCGACGGCCGAGAATACAAAGGGAGAGAAACGACTGAGAACAGGGAAAGGGCGCGACAACCATGGCAGTCGATATTGGCTATCTGGTTTGTAGTGCCGCACAACATCCCGCTTCTGCATCAAACGACTGCCCAATCCGCATATTCCGGGGAGCGTGACCGAAACAGGCGGAGCCACAGCATGGGGGAACAGCCGCTGAGATGAGTGGCCTTCGGGAATAGCTCGCTGTGTGTACATGCAGCAGCAGCAAGCCGCGAATTTGACCTGCCCACATAGCATGCGAGGAACACCCGTGGTTGCTGTTGTCCGCTCTCGACCCAATGTGATAAATGATATATCAGCCCGAGTCTCGCCTCTCGTTGATGTGGGTGGTGACATGTGCGGCATTACGGTGCGTTGGTAGCTCGAAGGCCTTGGCCGGCTTGGGTAGCGGCCCTTGGCTGTCTTACTCGCCGTCTTGCTACCTCCATGCTCTGTATTCTTACAACCGAGACTGCTGCAAGACGCGCGTCTACCTTGCCGGGCACTTATCACCAACCGCAAGCAACAAGAGCCGAGCCGTGTGGGGCTCACCATCCATTCCCCGTTGCAGGGGCATCGGCGGCTATCCCGGGAAAGAGCAGCATTAGTCGTCCTGCTTTTCGGGCTTCCTGCCCCATAAGTGAACTAATGTCGGGGCATCAACCACCGACATCAAGCCCCCACCTCTCGACCTAACAGAGTTCAAGCTCTGAGCTTCTGGACCAGCAGCATCCATCCCTTTCCCTCCACCATATTTCACCTCCACGCACCTCCTCTATGCTGGCTTAACCTCTTTATCTCGAATCTGGCAAGGTCTTCCAGATAGCCTGCAAGGGAGAAGCGCATGGCTTTGCTCATATAATTCACTTCTAACGATACCTGGTGGCATTCTTCTTTTTTCTTGTAGCCTGGGCCGCTGTGATCTCGCCATCTGGGTGTTTTAATTCAAAGGCCAGTCGAACGCGTGGGGTTTGTGTGTATAACAGGGTGTCTTCCTTCGGCGACTCTGTCCTTCTTACTTCCTGTCCTTTCTCTCTCATCCATCAACTTTATCATCATCACCTTACCACCACCCCTCGCCATGTCTTCCGTCAGGGACTTCCCCACAATCAAGGAGGTGCGCTCCTTTGTGATTGAAGGTGTCGGTTCAGGTAAGTCGTATCTTTGCGTGGCGCTGCTTGTGATCTGCCCCGGCGACGGCAAAATGTTGATTGGCGTACAGGCGGTGATTACCACAACGTCAAAGGCGGCCACTGGTAAGACGTAGCCCTCGACCCCTTTGAAAGCTCCACAGCGTCTACCGCACACGTTTACAGGATAGCAAAGACTTACACCACCTGCAGGCTGATCGACTCGCCCATTTCGACCCCCTGCTCGAGGTGGGAGAAATACCGCAGCTCGCGGACCAGCTGGGGCATCAACGTGCTCGGCTCCTTCTTCGTGGAGATCGAGGCCAGCGATGGCACGGTCGGCTACGCGACTGGCTTCGGCGGCCCGCCGGCGTGCTGGCTCGTGCACCAGCACTTTGAGCGGTTCCTAATCGGGGCCGACCCCAGGAACACCAACCACCTGTTCGAGCAGATGTACAGGGCGTCCATGTTCTACGGGCGCAAGGGCCTGGCCACGGCCGTCATCTCGGTCATCGACCTGGCCATCTGGGACCTCCTGGGCAAGATCCGGAACGAGCCCGTGTACAAGCTCATCGGGGGCGCCACCAAGGACCGCCTGGACTTTTACTGCACCGGCCCGGAGCCAACGGCGGCCAAGGCCATGGGGTTCTGGGGCGCCAAGGTTCCGCTGCCGTACTGCCCCGAGGAGGGCCACGCGGGGCTCCGCAAGAACGTCGAGTTCCTGCGCAAGCACCGCGAGGCCGTCGGCCCGGACTTCCCCCTCATGGTTGACTGCTACATGTCGCTCAACGTGTCGTACACGATCGAGATCGCAAAGGCGTGCCTGGACCTCGACATCAACTGGTGGGAGGAGTGCCTGAGCCCCGACGACACGGACGGGTTCGCGCAGATCAAGCGCGCGCACCCGACGCTCAAGTTCACGACGGGCGAGCACGAGTACTCGCGATACGGGTTCCGCAAGCTCGTCGAGGGCCGCAACCTCGACATCATCCAGCCCGACGTCATGTGGCTCGGCGGCCTGACGGAGCTGCTCAAGGTCTCGGCCATGGCGGCCGCCTACGACATTCCCGTAGTGCCGCACGCCAGCGGGCCGTACAGCTACCACTTTGTCATTTCGCAGCCAAACACGCCGTTCCAGGAGTACCTGGCCAACTCGCCCGACGGCAAGAGCGTGCTGCCCGTCTTTGGCGACCTCTTCACCGACGAGGTCATACCCACAAAGGGCTTCCTGACCACGGCCGACCTGGACAGGCCCGGCTTCGGCCTGACGCTCAACCCTACCGCGCGGTCCAAGATGATCCCGGCCAACCTGCTCCTGAATCCCGCTCCCGCCAAGGCGCTGATTAGTGGTGACGTCCCAGCCAACGGCGCCAAGGTTGAAGAACAGAAGTAGTGAGAGGCCGGTCGGCGTTTTTGATATGGACTTTTTTTATTGGACTTTTTTTTTCATCCTATTGGTTTAGGAGGTGGCAGGCAGTTCGTATGCATCCACATCATCTCGACAGAATGAAAACATACCCCAGTCCTAGCCAAAAATCCGAGGCATACTATGGATGTCCAGGCCCCTCTGGCAGGCAATGGGCAATGACGTGGCGGTGGCCCGAAACATCAATTGAATCTCGCTGTAAAGCACCCCGAGGATCGCGGGGTCACCCCTACTCGACGAGGCTAAACTCCCCGCATGACGGCGGAGGCCCCCGCTGAGGGGCTGGCTGAAGAGTCCACTTTGGGTTGGGTGCCTGGCCGGCAAGTGGGCGGCGATGATATCTGTGTATTGCCCGAGTATTATGCTGGGCCACACTGCCGTTGTAAGTGAGAAAGAGCTGTCTGACGCCGACGCTGCGGAGGGTTGACCCGGTTCTGTGGTGTGAAGCCGGGGCGTTTTACTACTGTAGAACTGCCCAAAACAGAGACTGGACGTGACTTTTGCCGTAGACTTGAGATGAAGTGATTTGATTTCAAGATGCATGTGCTTTCTTTCCGCTGCAGAGCAACGGGCTCAATTTCCCACGCCCCCCAGATCGCAAACCCCACATGACATCCATCTCGGCCTGCGATTCACCGCGGGCGACGGGCGATAGACGAGGAGCCAGCTACGTTTAACGGGGTGTGTTGTGTTGGAGCTCGGTTGCTCGTTGCCCTCGAAACCACCCTAAAATCTTCTCATCTCTTTTCCTTTTCCAAAGCCAACAAAAGAAAGAAAAAAAAAAGGCAAAAACACCCAGCAACGCCTCGCCGCAGCCATGCCCTGCACCAACATCCTCGCCGGCAAGACGGCCATCATCACGGGCGGCACGACGGGCATCGGGCGCGCCATCGCCCTCGGCTTCCTCCGCCAGGGCTGCCACGTCGCCGTCAACCACCTGGGGCTGGAGAAGGACCGCGTGCACCTCGAGTCGCTCGTGGCCGAGGCCGCCGCCCTCCAGTCCGCCGCGTCCTCATCGTCGTCCGTCGGCCGCCTCACCCACCTGGCCGGCGACGTGCGCGACCCGGCAACGGGCACGGCGCTGGTCCAGCACGCCCTGGCAGCCTTCAACACGGGCCGGCTCGACGTGTGCGTCTCCAACGCGGGCGTGTGCGCCTTCGCGCCCTTTCTGGACCTGGGCGCCGACCTGTTCGCCGACACGGTGCGTACCAACCTCGACGGCGCCTTCTACGTCGTGCAGGCCGCGGCGCGCCAGATGGCCCGGGGCCAGTCGCCGCCGGGGGGCTCCATAATCGGCGTCAGCAGCATCAGCGCGCTCGTCGGGGGAGGCCTGCAGACGCACTACACGCCCACGAAGGCGGGCGTGCTCTCGCTGATGCAGAGCACCGCGGTGGCGCTGGGCGGGCACGGCATACGGTGCAACGCGCTGCTGCCGGGCACCATCAAGACGCAGCTCAACGAGGCGGACCTGGCCGACGACGCCAAGCGCAGGTACATGGAGGGCCGCATCCCGCTCGGCCGCACGGGCGAGCCCGCCGACATGGCCGGCCCGGCCGTCTTCCTCGCGTCCGACGAGCTGAGTGGCTACGTCACGGGCGCGCAGCTGCTGGTCGACGGCGGCCTGTTTGTCAACCTGCAGTGAGGGGGTGTTGTTGGTGACTGGGACGGATCATGTAGATTATATGCAAGTGTGAAAAATATGGTTCGTGGGCACGGGTGTCTTTGCTTTCTGCGTCTCTTTTTCACTTGGCTCTGTAATATCTCCATGGAATTTAATCGTGACGGCTCGCAAAAAAATCAAGACATTCATGGGGTTGCCCCCCCCCCCCCCCCCCCCCCCCCGGCCGAGATTGCCATTTCTGATCGATAACGAAGCAGGCCCTTTTCGATCCCCACGCCAAAGAGAGACGCACCCCTTGACCCAAAGTCGACGAGGCAATCTTGTCGCCAAAAAGATCAGAGCCGCCAATCTCAAGATGCCTAAAATCATCCATCGCGTATTGCCCATTAATCCCAGGGCCCGACCAAACTACCTCGGACTATGCAGGAGTGCAATATTTGCCGTCCCCGACGCAAAGCATCCGCCGAGGTAATGAGACACAAATGGAAGAATAAAACGAAAGCACGTCGTTCGCAAACCCAATCACCCGTCCGCCTCCATCAGATCGCCCTTCCTGGCCCTACACCCGCCGCCCAGTAAAATAAATAAAATAAATAAAAAAATAAAAAAAAGAAGTAAGAAGAACATGTGTAGAAAGCGAGAGGACAGAAAAGGGGTATAAGTAAATTCTCACGGCACCAGAATGGATAAGGTAAATCCCTCAAGCCCCAACAGCAAAATGTTTCTAGTTGTTAGTACAAGCGGGCGTCGCCCACACAAATCCTCGGAAATGAAGAGAAAAATGAACTTGTAAACGAATGGGTTTGGGTGCTGCAGTTGTCATGCATTATAGTCTGCAGGATCGTCGCCAGGTATGTGTTGAGTTGATCGTCAAGCGCCGTTTTGAGCACCTCCGAAGACAGGGGCCTAGTTGTCCACAGGTTTTCCCTTGTCACCGGCCGTCTCCTGTTTGGCGTCACCGGAATCCTTCTTGTCGCGTCCGCTGGAGAGGAACATGTCTCTGAACTGTGCGTTGCTCTTGGGCGCAACAGTAGCCGCTCCGTTCGTCGATGTGGCCGAAGGGGGTTGAGCATTGGGCACAGGGCGCGGCGCGACCGCTTTCACGAAGCCGAGTCCGCGCTTGGGCTTGTTCTGGCCGAGCACAGGGCGATGGAGACGAGCAGGTTGCATCATCAGGCTGTTTGCCTTCTTCTTCTCGCCACCATCGGCAACCGTCTTGTTCTGCGGGGTAGCTTTGCCGGTGGCCGCAGGTTGGTCGATGCGGTCGGTGCGATGCTCGGCCTTCTCGGACAGCAGCTCTGCAACGGTACCGGTTCGAATGGCGCGGCCACCTAGCTCGGAGCCCCGGAGCGCGAGCTGCACCTTGCCGACGGCCGCCTCCTCCTTCATCTCGACAATGGCCCCGGCATGATCGGGGCGGAGAATGAGCTTGGTCACGGCACCGTGTTGCTCCACCAGCGCCCTCACACGAGAGTCATTGACCGTATCCGGCAGGCCGAGCAGTGCAAAGGTGCGGAGATCGCGGGACTCCTTGCTTCCGTTTCCGCTCTGGCGGTCGGCGCCCGCATCGTCGGTCGTGGCCACGTCCCCTTCCTTGTCGCTAGCGGGAGAGGGTGCTGGAGAAGCCGAGTTGACGGCGCGCGCGATCGGCTTGAAGTTGGTCACCTTAGTAGTCTCCACCGTGAGAATGCTGCTACGCATCTTGGCCATGTTGAGCTCCGCGGCCGCGGCTTCGGCCTCAGATTTGGTCTCGAACACGACGAAGCCAGTTCCCTGTGACTTGCCCGCCATGTTGCGCAAGATTCGGACCGTTTGGATCTTTCCATACTTGCCAAATAGCTCTTTGACAGCCTCATCGTTCGCGTCGGATGGGAGGTTCTGCACCTTGACCTCTCTGCCCTCCGAGGTCGCGCCCTCACGAGCCTTCTTCTGAGCCGGGTCCGAGTACTTTGCACTCAGCTTGAACCTGCCCTCCAAAACGCGGCCGTCGAGCTTGGTGGCCTCTGCGGCGCCCTCGGGCTCGCGGAAGGTGACGTAGCAGAAGCGACGGTGGGTGTTGAACTTGAGGCTGGGCCAGCGCACATCGAGCATCTCGCCGCAGTCGGTGAAGAGGTTCCGGATGTAGGACTCGTCGGCCGTCGGTGGGTAGTTTGTGACAAACAGGGTCAGACGATCTGCGGGCTTGACGCCGACGATCTGCTGTCCAAAGTATTTGCCGTCGCGCAGGAGGGCGGATCGAGCGTCGTCGGGGGAACGAAACTCGACGACGGCAACGGCGGATTGGCCATCATCGACCTTGCGGAGCAGAAGGTTATTGACGTGGCCGTACTCACGGAAGTACTGCCGGACCCTGGTCTGTGTCGTGTCAGCCGGCAGGTTCATGACGATGACGGACGTGTGCTCCCGGTCCCGCTTCTGGGTAGCACCGGCCTGCGAGGACAAGTCCTCGTCGGCCTGGACACCGGAGCTGGTCGCGTCATCAGCTTGATTCCTGGCCCGCTTGTTCGCACCTTCTTCGACGCGATCGGGTGTGTCCCCGCGCTTCCTCTTGGACGCGGCCGAAGGCGAGCCTTGGGCCTCAGCCTCGGACTGTTGGGTTGGCGCGGCGGTCGGGGCGGCGTAGGCGGCAGCAGCAGCGGCGGCGGCGGCGGTAGCTTCATCCTTCCGGCGCTGCTCCAGCTGCTTCTTGGTCCGATGCACAAAGTCATAGGCGAGCCGCAGGTTCTCGGGTGTCTCGTGGTTGTTGCAGTGCTGCAGGTAGATCTCGATGATCCTCTCGGGCCAGTCAAGATCCTTCCTCTTCAGAGCGCGCTGCAGCACATCTGTCGCGTGGGCAGGCGAACGCGGCGAAGCCCTCGGCGGAAGCGAGGGGCCCGGGGTAGGGCTGCGCCTCTTACCCTTCTCAACCTGGAAGAGCTGGATCTCCCATGCGTAGTATTGCAGCCAAAAGTTGTAACTGGCAGCATATAGTGGCTTGTCGGCAAGCCTCAGCCACTGAGCTCGAGCTTCCTCGATAGCGCCGTGCTTCTCGGTGAGGTAGCCCACCAGGACCCGCTCGAGGCGGAAGTCAGGATCACCAACGTAGGCGTTGCCGAACCGGCGCTCGCCCCAGACCTGCACGGCCTCGAGGGCAGCAAGGAGGCCAGAGTCGGCGAGATCGGTCGTCTCCTCGGACGCGGCAGGGTCCAAGGCCGACCGCTTCAGATAACCACACCACGCAGCGTACATCTCGACGACCCCAATCATGCCGTCGCGATCGAGCTGCGAGTTGTCTGTTGCTGCATGCTTGATCCGCTCCATGGCCGAGAAGGACAGGCCAGCCTCCTCTGCACTCAGGATATAACGCGCCCAGAGCGGGCCAGACCAGGGACAGTGAGATACGGCACCCTGCAGCACAGAAGGACTACTCGGGATGATCTGCAGCATGTCAGGGTTGCGCGTCTCAGGACTACTAAACCGGTGGTAGAGTGACGAGACAAAGACAGCATAGTCGGCCCAGGTGGTCTCGTCGGAGGAGAGGATGCCGGTGAGGGCGCGCGAGAAGAGGCCCATGGCGATCTCGATGGCGAGCTTGGGGTTCTTTTTCTCCCGGATGGCAATGGCGATCTCGAACTGGAGGTAGTCCTTCATGGCGGCGCGCTGAGCGTCCAGGTCGCCGGCGCTGGCGGCCCTGGCCAGCTTCGTCTCGTACGGGTCACGCTTTTCGTAAAGGTCTCGGACAGACTGCGAGCGTGCCGAAATGTCCTTCATGGAGCTCTCCCAGGCAGCGTGGTTGTACTCGGATAGGAAGGTGGAGTACGCCTGGGAGGTCTCGGCCCAGGTGGAATGCGGACTCAGCAGGCGATTGCGGAAGAGGTGAGTGATGCGCTTAACACCCTCGGCCGTCTTGGTACGCGAGAGGAGCTCCATCTCCCTGGCGATCCATCGGTTCCAGAGCACATGGCTGTCGCCCAGGCGGTGTTGAGTAGCATCGTGGCCTTCCTGCCAGACGCGCAGGGCGGCGTCGAGAGACAATATCTCACGCGCCATCTGCAGTTCTTCGGCGGGCCACGTCCACGGGATCTGGTGAGAGGGGTGTTGGCAGCTCTGATAGAGCGACCAAAAGTATTCACAGTAAGCCAGCCATATCCGCAGGCTTCCGGGCTCGGCCGTCGTGGCTTTTTTGTACAGCTCGAGGACCTGGATGCGAGCCTCGAGGTCGCGTGCGTGCTGCTTCTGCTGGTCGATGTAGTCGACCCAGCTGTCCTCGCCGACAGGTGGTGATGACGGAGGGGACCGGGGCGGCACCGATGTCGGCGGCGCGCTCGCGCTGTTTGCTTCTCGCATTCGGTCGTTCATCGTGGGCGGGAGGCAGAGGGCGAAAAATGAGTCGGATCTGCTATCTCCGCGGCGCGCAACTCCAGAGCCTAGAAGCAAGCCTCGGCGAGCTCAAGAGCCAGAGTGATCCCTAACCACCCACTTCCAAGTTGGAGATCGAGTAGGAGGGACCATCTGCCTGTCGCGGGTGACGGCGATGTTCGGGGTGGGAAAGGAACGTGGTGGTGGCGCCTGGAACCAGCGCAGCTTTTTTTTTTTTCTCTCACTCCCTCTTTGAGCTGGCTGGGACCGACGATGGCGCAAGTTCAGGGTCGCAGAGAGAAGTCAGCAAAAGCTTGCGGCTAGTCAGGACGAAGAAGCGTTTTGAGGCAGACACCCTTGGCGGCCGCGCCTGAGTGGTCTAAATTGTTGTTTGGATTAGGAGAGAAAAATTCCAAGGCGGGATTCGGCCCCGGCTCGCCCAGCCCCAGAGGTGGCCGCAAGGACGGCTTTCGGGGCGCTAGACTGGAGCAGCTGGCTGGAATACAGTACGAGCCACCAGGCCTGAGCCACGCACACACACACACACACCATAACCTTCTCCGCGGGTCAATGTTGGGGTCAGTGCAGCCTGGTGTTACCTGCAAGGTGTGCAAGGCTTGCCGGGGCGGCCGGCAGCGTGTGAGTGTGCGATCTGCCCCCCAAAAAGCGTGCGTCCAGGCGGGGCCACATGCATCCCACCGCCGGTACCACTCCGGTCACACAGTGTGACGCCCACCAAGCGCCCTGCTCCTGCTCTCCTGCTGCCCTATGTGGTCTTTTGGGGGTCCTTCCTCTTGAGCCACCTGTAACGATGGAGCACGCTTTTCTGGGGCCAACCCCATCCGTAGCCTGAGGGGCTCGATCCAGACGACGGCCAAAGACGCCCGGCTGGCTGGGCCGGGCAACAACACGCAGTTACCCGGCGACATGGGCCCTTTTTGGGGCCCTTTTTGCTTGCACGGTCCTAGTATGGACTGGGGACGGACAGATATCGAGAGCGTGTCGCGTCCACATTTCTCACCCCCATTGCCGACAGACACCAGACATCAATCATGTTTGCGGAACGGGCGGGGGACAAATAGTGCCTGCTCACGCCACGGGCGGCTGCTGGTGCAGGTTTTCTGGCGATCACAATGCAGGCCACTTTGCGCAGGCCTGGGGAGACACACGACGTGACTGACTGACTGACTGCTGCCTGTTTCTGTTTCTGGCTGGATCGAGCGCTGGAGCCGTGGCCTAACAGCCTCGGGCCACCATGAAGCTTTGCCACGAAATAAAAACTGGAGCAGCGGCCGATCCCCCTCAGCCCGCCGTGGACCGCGAGCGCTAACCAAGCCCAGCTGAGAAGCGTCTCGACACGGCCAAGACAAACGAATGAGGAGCCGCGCAGGTCTCGCTAGAGCCAAACCAGAGGCCGGGGAAAGCTTCGAGGGCCAGAGGCGCGCGGCCCAGACAAAGGGGTCCATCGATGGAACTTCCAGGCTCCCGCTTGCCTTGGAGCACTTGGCTGGGCGAACAAGGAACAATTGATCAGCAGAACACCGGAGCAAGCCACGAGCGGTCTGGCCCCTGATGGACCAGCAGCCTCCGACTCTTCGGAGGGCTGGTTGTGACGAAATGACACACAGCCCTAGACATTGTTCTTACCATCCATCCCAAGGCTTTTTCTTGTTTCCCGCCTGCTCCTCCTGGCGTGACGTGTGCGATGGAATAAGGACCCCGACGTGTTGGACAAGGCTCTGTCCCCCGCATCGAACGAGATATTTGAAATTAAAGACCCCGTGTCCACCCATGGTTATCACGCCCTATCATGCACCCTCACCTTTTCGTCTCGGCTACCCAGCCACCAGCCTCCAACAAAAAACCGCACAAAACAAAGTCAAATCAATTGATTGAAATGCCTCGTCGCCACAACACGCGCCTCAGATCCTCTCAAAAATTATAGACGGCGTAGGGAAAATAACTGCCCATTAGATAGCATATAAAAAAATAGGCGCTGGCTATTATTTGTTGTGAGTAAATTGGCTTCAAAGTGTGCCCCTTTTATTTACGTGTGCGGATTTTTTTTTTGGAGGTTGGTGCCAGCTCATCGCGAGTCCCAGGTATCCATTGCGAGGCCTCTCGCTTGGTCGCTTGTTGGTCGCTCGCGGAGCCGGGACCCTCCATCCCCGGCCCAGGCCTTAAGCCACCATTCTGTCCGAGATATTAATAGGTCGGCCTTCGTGTTTGATCGCGTTTATTCCTTTTGGGTCATGCCGATCTTGCCGAATGACTGTCTGCCCCTGTCATCCCGTCCGGCATGCACAGAGACTTGGTTTGAAGGATCCCGTCCTTTGTCACATTTGTAAGAGGCCGGCCCATCTGCTAATCGATACGAGGCGCACGCGAGACACGCGCTCCTGTCAGCAAACG